ATGTGTGTGTTCTAATAAAACAGAAAACTTTATAACCACAGGACTACATCTAAAACTGGAAATGTTGTTGACTGCTGGGGTAGCAAGTTTGGTAATGAGGCCAAGAAAAAATGTGTACTCATTTAAGTATAAATAAGAGAAGTGCCTTAATACTTTTGACTGCTTTTAAGTGTGGAGATAAGATGATAGACAAATATCTCCAAACAAATAAGGATGGTCATTTTTTTTTAGCGTACGGCCAATTCAGAAGCCAGTGAAGCTTGAGCAATTACATCAGTTGGCACATTCACTCATTTAGAAATAAGCTCCATAGAAACCAGCAAGATTTACTTCCACCTACACTCTAGTGTAGTCTGATTGATTTCGTGCCTGTGAAGCTTAAGGACAAAATTTGGATTTTAAGGTGGCATATCCTGCATGTAAAGGTAAAGGGACCCCTTACCATTAGGTCCAGTCGCGGATGACTCTGGGGTTGCGGCGCTCATCTCGCTTTATTGGCCGAGGGAGCCGGCGTACAGCTTCCGGGTCATGTGGCCAGCATGACTAAGCCGCTTCTGGCGAACCGGAGCAGCGCACGAAAATGCCGTTTACCTTTCTGCCAGAGCGGTACCTATTTATCTACTTGCACTTTGACGTGCTTTCGAACTGCTAGGTTGGCAGGAGCAGGGCAGGAGCAGGGACTGCTCAGTATCCTTCCCACTGGCATCTCTAGGTAGGACTGGGAGAGACCTCTGTCTGGAACTCTGTAGAGCCTCTACCAACCTTTAGACTGTGCAGTACTGAGCTAGATGAACAAATGGTCTGAGACAACTCTCTTTGTTCGTAAGAGGAGCAAAGATCCATCTATTCGCTGCTACCTCCTGCCAATCTTGTGGTAGGGAAGAAATCCATTGTATGAAGAATTCATGTTGTTTCTCCTGGCCTGAATCTAGTGACAATCATTGTGTAATGCCAAGTTCTGATGCTGAGTGTTATCCTGCAGGAGATAATTGGTAATAGTAGACAATTTATTTTTTTCAAGGTCATTTGCCTGATCTTTTTTAAGAATGCCTGATGAGCTGCTGAGGAGTCCTAAGAACTGTACTGGAAGATCATTTGCTGTAGTGTATTCTAATTACTAAGTTAAATTTTTAGCCTTCTGTTCCAGATTTATGGAAGGACCCCCCCCACGCCTGACATTTAATGAAAGAAAATGAGCACGCTTGTGTTCAGCAACATATCTAAGACTCTGTCTGCTCCTGTGTCCTGTTATTAATTTGGACTACCAGCTTGAAATATTTGCACTTCTCTCTTAGCCAATGGGTAGCTGCAGAAAAATAGTTTCTGCGTAGATAAGCTTTGCACTGTTGCAGTCATCACATTATTTCTTCCTGTTCTACCAGCGCGGCAACTCATTTGTTGTCATTGGTACTGGCAATGGGATTGGTCCTTGCATTTGTTAGAACTCTGTTGTGGAGTCCAAAGTGGTTTGTCAGTTCTTCTCACATCTGTTATGATGCATTAGTCAGACCTGAGATATCCTCAGACTTGTCCATCGACCTACGTGCCATTCTCAGACATGAAAGGTACCTAGTGGTGCAGTTTTGGTGCCTGTCCTTCAGTTTGTAGTTCATGGGGAAACTCTCTGAAGTCAAAGTCTAATTTATTTTGGAGGATGCATCCGAGTTTAAATTTTTGTGATCGCTTGATGCCTGGAAAGAAGCAGGTGAGGTTTGTTGAAGGATTTGATTTGATTTCTTTAGCATTTTGGGTGGGGCGAGATGAAAATTGCTTTCATTTGCCACTCCCTGTCATATTTAATTGGGACATAATGCAGACAGGTAGTAATTTGTGCAGGTGTTTTTTGTCTGTTTAACTTGCTGCCAAATGAATTGTCATTCTGAAACAGATCCAACCAGAAATCACTCTAAATTCTTCTAGAAGTGATTCTGCATTCTCAGGTCTGAGTTAAGCCCTGGAGACTTAGTCATTTGGCATATATTTACACAAAATAGGCTTGGTTCTTCTTGCTTCTCTGAGAAGGTGTAACACCACATTCCTGAAAGATCAGGGCTCTGCACTTGTCTCCAGTTATATCTTTTAAATGCACATAAATATTGGAATGCAAAGAGGATGAACCTGAGCTACAGCAAACATCACCTTGGGGCAATCTTTGTCAACCAGCATTGGCTGCATCTGACAGGAGTTGTAGTCGTAATCATCTAGAGCCAGGAGTGGCCCTAGCCTAGAGTTTTGGGGGGCCCTGGGCAAGAGAGTCATTGGGGGCCCCTAAAGGTATGGAAGCAAGCCAGGCATTTCACTTAATTCTATCCATGAATCTACAGTGAAAGTATTTATAAATGTATATATAACATGTACATAACATTTCATGTGTACATAACATGTCATGTATACATAATAGATTCTTTGTGTTCAATTTTTATTACAACTGGAGCCGAGACTATGACGTAAACCCATGAACAGAAGTCATAAGGTACTCCAACATGTAATGCTCTTATGTAAACAGAAAGATCCAAAACAAAACAAAAACCCTTAAGAAAGCATATTGTTTAATATCGTGGCAGGAGGGACAAATGGTGAATTGATGATAGTCAGTTCGCTGATAAACAGTGATAAAGGAATTCATTATTTAAGAGTCAATCCTTTGGTACAGAGCTTTGCAAACTTTTCATTTGACACACTTTTAAAGACATGCATCATTTCACAACACAGTAATTCAGTTTTCCTAGCAAACTGGAGGTTAAACTAACCTCTTTCCAGCCCCGGGAGGAGCACTTGTATGACACATCTACACACTGCAGCCAGCACAGTCTGCAGTCGCAACACACAGTTTGGATCACTCTGCTCTAGTAGAATTATCAGGTAAGGGTCAGTTCTCTAGCAAAGGGAGATGATGATGATCAAGGAGATGGAGCAACACCTCTTTGAGGAAATACTGCAGTGTTTGGGGCTTTTATAGTTTAGGGGAAAGGCAAGGAAGAGAAGACAAGACAGAGGTGTATAAAATTAGGCGCGGTGTGGAGAAAGTGGATAGAGAATTTTCTCCCTCTGTCACGACACTAGAACTCATGGACCTCCAAAGAAGATGAATGTTGAAAGATTCAGGACAGACCAAAAGAAAGTACAGTACTTCATCATGTAGCATATAGTTGCTCTGAGTTTTGCATCAGTGATGGCCACCAACTTGGGTGGTTTTGAAGCAGGAGGAGACAGGTATGGGCAAGCCCTGGTTCGCCAAGGTATGATTGCACTGGCAACCAGGTTGGTCTGACTCTTCTTTTGATCTTGAGCAAGGTGTGGGCCCTACCTCCCACCTGGTCATTGCGAAAGTCTTTTGCGTAGGCAGTGGTGTGGTTAGGCTACGTTGGACTTAATAATGTTTTGGGGCCTCCACCTCTTTAGATGGATATGTGCATCATCTCTCTTGCTACTAGCCATGATGGCTATGTTCCCGAATGCCAATTGCCAGGAATCACAGGTGGGAAAAGAGCTGCTGTGCTCAGGTCCTGCTTGTGCCAAGTCCCATATGCACCTGGTTGGCCACTTCAGAATGTGTTACCGGTAAATCTGCCCTTCTGCATTGGGGTGGGTGCTCCTGGTCATTCTTCCAAGTGGGCCCCCCGGATCCTACCCTGAATGACTGCCCTGTGCATAGCTCACCCAAACCACAGCAAATGGGCTTGGGTTGGGTCTCAGACCAAGAGTGTGGGTGGCACCCTTATGCTGATTAGTGCTGGGAGATACGTCGCTATCGTCCAAAACTGGTTTTGAAGTCCATATTGTGATATCAGTTTCATAATTTTGGACCTGGCAATATTTTATGAATCATTATATGTGTGTGTGCGCTATGTAAAAATCACAATGTCAAGCCAGTCAATGCTTCTCTTGATTCCTGCAGCCCCTGTTAACTCTGTTGTTGCAGCTCTCTGCCCCTTGCAGGGGGGCAGCGAATTACAAGAGCAGGCGTTGGCAAAAATCACGATGCAGGAAAAAACCGTGAAGCCAGCCAATGCCTCCACATAAAGGTAAAGGTAAAGGGACCCCTGACCATTAGGTCCAGTCGTGGCTGTCAGCATCGCCCTTGAGCCAGTGCCACCAACTGGACTCATCCACTTCAGCCCCGACTGGGCTAGGCGAGCTGGGTAGCACTTCCAGAGACCACCTTCTGCACAGGAACAGGTCAAAGTGCTGTGGACTCACAGCTTAGAGTTGTGAGCACCGGATTCACTCCAACAAGAAGACAGTCGTCGCACAGCAGAGTACAGCAGAGTCTAGCAGAGTATATAAACAACTCGGAGAGCAGCTCTGTAGAATATCTTCTTTTATTCTATCTACAACTATACAAACTATATACAGAGTTTAATAGGTCTAAGCATAAATGAATGCTACACTGCACTGAGTGTCTGCAGCTGCTCTTAGCAGCAACCTTATCTCTACACACGATCTCTAACACTCAGTCTCTCTCTCTGTCTCCGACACTTACTGACTGACTGACTTGATGCTGGAGCAGAATAAGTAGAGAGCAGAACACGCCTCCTCCTCTCTGGAGAATCAGCAGACTCCTCAGGAGATTATTGGATATGGGAGGGGTGAAATCTCCTCGGTGGCCAACTCTGGGGTTGCGGCGCTCATCTTGCTTTATTGGCCAAGGGAGTCGGCATACAGCTTCTGGGTCATATGGCCAGCATGACTAAGTTGCTTCTGGCGAACCAGAGTAGTGCACGGAAACGCCATTTACCTTCCCACCAGAGCGGTACCTATTTATCTACTTGCACTTTGACGTGCTTTCGAACTGCTAGGTTGGCAGGAGCAGGGACCGAGTAACGGGAGCTCACCCCGTTGCGGGGATTTGAACCGACCTTCTGATCGGCAAGTCCTAGGCTCTGTGGTTTAACCCACAGCGCCATAGCTCCATCCTTAATTCAGACATCGCGATTTCTTGGTATATCGTGATGTTCAGCTTGTGATATATTGTGTTGAAAGTGTTGAAAACCAGATATGTCCCAGCCCTAATGCTGAAGGCTTAGACCATCACATTCATTCAAGTGCATTTCTGAGCACAATGGCACACAGCATCAAGTTTTACGCCCTTCAATCTATTTACACTGCAGAGCAAAATGTGTGCATTGTGCATTTGTTGTCTCCATCTCTTTCTTCTAATAATAAGGGAAAAAATTCTCTTAATTGCTTAGTTTATTATAGCTGGCATTTCATTTTGTATCACACAAAAGACAAACAAACCCTGCAGTTTATCTCTCCCCACCCCCAATCCCTTTTTATTCTTTTTACCATGGGAATTTTAATAAATCAATGACAATAAGAACACTTACTGGAAAGTAGTAGATGCTTGAAAATTACTATTTTTATTTCCCATGGGTTAACACCTGCACATCAGAATAGAATCAAGCAACATATTATGTACAGTAAAAGGTTTCTGGCTACTGAAATGAAGAAGCCAATCCATTATAAAACAACATTAACTCTTTGCGTGCTGCTTTTGCTCTGCTTTCTGTGGGAAGCTGCCCAATGTACTCAGTGAATTTTCAGAATTAGGGGTGGTTTCGATTCAAGTCCATTTCACCCCTCACTTGCAGAGGAAGAAAGGAACAAAGAAATCTTAAGTAGAATTTTGACTCTATAACACTAGTGACTGGATCTCTTCCAGACGTTGATAGGTGTCGTTTTTTATTCTGCACTTCTTTTAATGGGGGCCAGGTGACCATCTGCCATATCATCTGGGGTAAGCTATGGCCAAAAGGTGCAGTTTTTATCCTGGACATATGCAGAATTGGGTTATTAAGAAGGTTTCTGGCAGCAGAACCCCTTATGCATAATTTTCCTGGCTTACAGAGAAACAAAGCTTGGATGTCCTGTAGCTCCTGGCAACTCAAGTGGCACACGCTTACAAAAGCATCAGTTTGAAAGCGCTCTGTACCTTTTCTAAAATATCTTCCACCTACTTTAAAGCTGTTTCCAGTGAATAGTGGGTTTGCATAAGAGTGGGTCAGCCCCATAGGACTAAGGAATGAGCTGCATAGCTCAGTGGGTAGAGCGTGAGACTCTTAACCTCAAGGACATGGGTTTGAGCCCCACATTGGACAAAAGATTTCTCATTACAGGGGGTTGAACTAAATGACCTTTGGGGGTCCCTTCCAACTTTAACATTCTGTGATTCTTAGAAAGAGTATGGACGTACTATAAGAATGTGGGGCTGTCATCAAAGACTATAGGACTGTGGCAGACTCCACCACCCACTGCATCGGTGTCTTAATGTTTAGTTGCCCCATATCCTAGCACGACAGTATTTTGTGTTTTCCTTGTCCATTGGCTGAAAGGAACAAATAGACCTCATAATAATGTCAGGATACAGAATATGCTGAACTTTTCATAATATTATTATTATCACCATCATCATTTATTTATGCAGTGCCAACAATGTACATGGCACTGTGCACAATCAGAATAAGAATTCTACCCCGAAGGGCATACAAGAAATACTTGAAATACTACTACAGTGGTACCTCGGGTTAAGTACTTAATTCGTTCCGGAGGTCCGTACTTAACCTGAAACTGTTCTTAACCTGAAGCACCACTTTAGCTAATGGTGCCTCCCGCTGCTGCCATGCTGCTTGAGCACGATTTCTGTTCTCATCCTGAAGCAAAGTTCTTAACCTGAGGTAATATTTCTGGGTTAGCGGAGTCTGTAATCTGAAGCGTATGCAGCCTGAAGCGTATGTAACCTGAGGTATCGCTGTACAAGAAATAATAAAATAAAAACCAATAGTTTAAAATGCACAATTCACAAGCCGTTACATCAGCTGTGCTAAAACAGCCGCACCAATCTGAACTCCTAGTATAGGGTCAACAAGGCTTGATCAGCTGATGGCTGATCCACTGCTGAGAGCCACAGTGGAGAGCCCTTGAGCTTGTTCCTCTGGGCGGTGGCACCCATAAATACCTGAGGGGTGGGAGGAACAAACACAAGCTTGGAATACAGGCTGAAGTTTCTCAGGTGTTTCCCTTCTCTCTCACTGCTGCTTTCTCCTCCAACGAGGTCTTATGGAGGGAGAAGGAAAAACTTGATTCTGGGAGTCATAGTCCTGTGGATGGAGGAGTGATTATTCCCAGAGTGGTGTAAAAACCAATCCTCCTTCTTGGAGAACGCTGGGAATCATAGCTCTGTGAGGGGAACAGGGGTCTCAACAAACTACCGTTCTCAGGAATCTTTGGGGTAAGCCACAGCTTTTAAAGGGATATCATGGTGCTTTGAATGCAAGGCACAGATGTGGCCCTAATCACATGCAAGTAGTCCTGACTAGCGTAACTGGAAAGGATATTTTTTGCTTCTGAAAAGCATTCAAGAGCCTAATAATGCCAGTTTTTTGAAGCAATGTGTTTTGGACCCGTTGGAAGGCTGAATTCATCAAAATCTTGCTCTGTCGGTGTCCTAAAAGTAATAAACAATATGTCATTAAAATCAATATCGACCTTGCTGGGCTTTTCAGAAACTACCGTACTACAGTTACTGAAAAGCTGGGTTAATCTCTGACTAAATCCATGAGTAATTTGGGCTTTTACTGTGTTTTCAGCGTTTTTCCCTAGAAAGCATGCCACAGACAAGGGAGGAGAAATGTTAAAATGGGCAGCTTTAGCAGCAATCTCTGGGTTTTAAGTTCTTAGAAGAACATTGCATCTGGTTTCCAGGCACGGTATCTAACACCCTTTCTTGTTATTACTAGATTATAATGATTTATAAAATGGAATTGTTGCACAAAGAGAGGGAGGGAGAGAAAACGAGTTCTGCCACAAACTAGTCTCTTAAAATAGGAGTTTGTTTGTTTAGAATATTGAATCCTTCGTGGGACCAGCACATTTTGCTCCAGTTTCTTCCCCCTATTTTACACTGTGACCGGGGTCTGAAGCATTAGTCTGCATAAGTCAGAACTGTGCCACTGGTTCTTATCTTTGGCCTGGTGGGCTATGATAAATGGCTCACAGATGGTTTATGGACAGATGTTGAAAAGAAGAGGGTGAACAGTTCACTCGCATCCTATCCAGCAAAGGTCAGGCGGGAAGAAAGAAGTTTAAGCATCAGGCGCATGCCGTAGAGTATTTGCATTGAGATTCTCCGTCTGAGCATCTTTCTGTAGGAAACCCAGTTTATGTAGGAAACAGTCAGTGATTGCCAGGTTGGATGTCTGAGTATCTTCCCCTCCTGGCTGTACTGTGTCCTTGCTGCCAGCACTCAGCATGCTCAGGCAGGTACAGGGGTGCCAGAACCCCAGCAGCCACCACCATCGCTGTCAACAGGCTGCTGCATCTACCATAGCTTCTCCTGCTGAGGTTTGCCAGGTGCCAGCCGGGTGCCTGCCCACAAGAGCATCTTGCATGGATGGTAGGGGGTGGCTTGGTTGCCATGTTGAACAGAGCGGAGCAGGTCTACCTCTGAACTCAGCTGTGTTTTAATGCTGCTGGCAGCCAAAAGCCTTCTGCTGATTCTAAGGATGCTCAAATCAATATATTATTATCCTGCTTTGAGGATAGAACGAGGTTGCCCATGTTCATGGGTTAGTTCTGACAAGGGGAAGAGGGTCACATTTCCTGCTGGGTATACTTCTTTTTTAAATTTTATTTTACAGTTTATTTTGACAAAGCAATAACCATAAATAAATGAGAATAAAAATGCGCACCCCACAACTGAGACCATTCCATTTCATTGCAACTACCCATTGGGTAATCTTCTCAGGGTCATATGCCAGAGGGTAAAGGGGTGGAGCAACAGATGCAAATTTGACCTTTCATTTAATTTCGCTTTTAGTTCGTATGCCGCCTTTCTGTATTACCATGCACAAAGCGGTTTACGAGCTGAAGAACAAAATGGACAGCAAACATCACACACCTAATAACGATCTGATCCAATAAAAAAAAAATTCATAATAAAAACATAACTTTAAAATAAATTTATAGTAAATAAAGCAATATCCAAGAATCCATTAGAATATAACAGTAAACAGTAAAATTAAATATCAGCAAAGAATAATCAGCTTACATTTAATAATTACAGTAAACTAATCAATAAAAATAACGGTGAGTTACAATGCATAAAATACCACAAAACGTAGAAATCCATGTAAAAGGATCAAAATGACAAACAAGGGCATACAACTTATATTACACACACTCTCTCTCTCTCTCTCACTCTTTTTTTCAGCAGGCTAGTTTATTTACAAAGAGGTCAAGGTAGCATGCATTTTTCTCCCCATTTTATCTTCACAATGACCCAGTGAAGCAGGTTAGGCTGAAAGACAGTGACTGGCCCAAGATGGCTGGCCCATTGAGCTTCATGGTTTAGTGGGGACTTGAACCCTGGTTTTCTGGGTCTTAGTCCAACCTTCTAACCACTACACTATCCATACAGGCACTGATTACACCCAGACCTGACTGGCAGTAGTTCTCCAGAGTCTCAGGCAGAGAACCTTTCTCCAGACCTATCTGGAGATGCCGGGGATTGAACCTGGGACCTTCTGCATGAAAAGCAGATGCTATGGCTGTTCCCACTAATTGGCTCACCATTCCTTCATTCCTGCTCAGTGCTGTGCTCTGGAAAAGCCAGCTGCTGACTAAGGACAAAGATGTCTAAGTGAATTAATGTTTTGGAAGTCTCTGTAAGTGTTTCCTGAAAAGCTAGTGTGAGAGGATGCTCTTAATTGCTATTTTAAAAATAAATGTGTCAAGAAACTATTTTTGGCAGAAAAACGTTCCCACACACATGGATTCCAGAAGTAACACCTTTAGGTTAATTTAAGTGGGACTTGCTGAGCCTGAATCTGAGAGGGTTGAACTCCTGTCCTGAACAATTGGCTGTGAGCAAATTCAGGACTTTGTTGGCCTCAGTTCCCTACAGTGGTACCTCGGGTTAAGTACTTAATTCGTTCTGGAGGTCTGTTCTTAACCTGAAACTGTTCTTAACCTGAAGCACCACTTTAGCTAATGGGGCCTCCTGCTGCCGCCACACCACCGGAGCACGATTTCTGTTCTCATCCTGAAGCAAAGTTCTTAACCTGAAGCACTATTTCTGGGTTAGCGGAGTCTGTAACCTGAAGCGTATGTAAGCTGAGGTACCACTATACTTGCAAATTAGATCTTTGGTGTTCATTTGGTGCTCCTGTCATGGACTGTGAGATACATTTTTGTGACTATCAAAAGCAGGGAACCTTCAGCTGAACTACAACTCCCATCAGCCCCATCTAGCATGCCCAATGGGCGGGATGATAGGAGTTGTAGTTCAGCAACATCTTGAGGGCCAAAATTTACTGACATTTGATCATCAGGAAGATGGAGACAGTGTGCAGACAAGCAGCCAGTTATATGCAAATTGGAAGGTGTTTTTCTGTGTTTTGCACAGCATGTTTGTATGTCCTACCTGAGTGAAGCGTTGTGTAGTGGTTAGAGCATTCAGCCTGGTGCCTTTCAGATGTTTCGGACTCCAGCTTCTAACAACCCCAACAAGCATAGCCAATGGTTGGGGATGGGCAGGAGTTGTAGTCCAAACCTTTGGAGGGCACTACGTTAGGGAAGACTAGATTAGTGTATCAGATGAGACCTGGTGAAACTCAAGTTCAAATCCCTATTTAGAAATCTCACATGGGCCAATCATAAGAATATAATGGGAGCCTGTGGGATCAAGCCAGCAGACCATCTAGTCTAGCATCCTGTTCTCACAGTGGCCAACCAGATGCCTGTGGGAACCAGAAAGCAGGACTGAGTAAAAGAGCACTCTTGCCTCCTGTGACTTCCAGCAACTGGTGTTCAGAAGCATTATGGTCTCCGACCATGGACACAAAGCCTAGCCATCATGGCTAGTAGCCATTGATAGCCTTATTCTCCATGAATTTGTCCAGTCCTCTTTTAAAGTCACTGCCTCCTATGGGAGTGAGTGCTATAGTTCAATGACGCACTGCACGAAGAAGTGCTTTCTTTTATGTGTCATGAATCTTCCAATGTTCGGCTTTATTGTATGTCCATGAGTTCTAGTGTTATATGAGAGGGAGAAAAACTTTTGTTCTATCCACTTTCTCCAGGTCATGCATAATGTTACAGTGGATGTTCGGGTTGCGAACGTGATCCGTGCGGGATGCATGTTCGCAACCTGCTTCTGCACATCTGCACACGCGCGGGTTGCGATTTGGCACTTCTGCTCATGCGCAAAGCGCAATATAGTGCTTCTGCGCATGCGCGACTGCCGAAACCCAGAAGTAACCTGTTCCGGTACTTCCAGGTTTCGGCTGTCCGTAACCCGAAGAAACGCAACCTGAAGCATCTGTAACCCAAGGTATGACTGTACTGTATAAACTTCTGTCATATCACTTCTTCCTTGCCTTTTCTATAAGCTAATATCTCTCTCTCTCCACCCCCCCCCCAGGCTGCCCTGCCTTGTGGGTTTACTACAAGAGCCATGTACGCCAGTTCGAACCCCTTACGTTCTTACGAAAGGGACATTTAGCCAAAAGGCAGGCAGAAAAACAAGCTGGTAGTCTGACTGGTTGGGACTCTATGCTCAGCAATACCGGGGAGGGAAGAGATTAGACTAGTGAGCAAGGTTGGGAAACGAGAAGTTTCTGCAGACAAAATGCAAGGAAGATACAACCCATGCAAGGTTACTCATCCAATGAACCGGAATGCAAAATGATCGGATCTGAAGGAAATGGCTGAAATCTGAACAGGTGTTTAAACTATGTTTGCTTTTTCTGGCCTCAGAGGTTGGTGGCACATTTGCACGTCAGCAGACTATGTCTAGGATGGAGAATTGGCAGTTTCCTGTTCAGATCTACACCTACATTTGTGTTAAACTGGAATGAAGCATCTGTTTCTGGTGCATAAATAGCAACATGCATTGGCACTACTGGGGCGATTATGAAGGTGCATGTATTGTTAATCCGCCCTCTTTAATAATAACAATAAATTACTTTTGTTGTTGTTACTACATTCTTTTCCTGGTTGCCAGTACTATGTACTTCAAAGGGACAGGTAGGAAGACTTCCGGGGTGGCGCCATCAGCAATGGCGGACTCCCTCTGATCCGGAGGGACTAGCTCCACGCGAAACGGGTCTTTCCGCTACGGCGAAGCGGGGACCCTTTTAAAAATCACAGGAGGATGAAGCCTGTGACCATGGGACTCAGCGGGCACCCTTAGCGCCCCCCCAACCCGCAAAGGAACCCACTAACGGGCTCCGAAGCGAAGAGGGGGAAGTGGTGCGGTGCTGAGAGTCAGCTGCTTTTTCCGTGGAGCGAAGCCGCACAGCCGTTGCCGGAGAGCGCTGCCTTTTTCCTGGGACAATTTGGCTTCTAAAATAAGCACCCGTGAGTACTTAAACTTTGAATAATTGGACTTTAAATAAGGACTTGCGAGCAGAAAGGAATTGGATTTAAAAATTTACTTCAATTTGGTACTGAAACGGGAAGGTCTAAACAGGAAGTCAGCCTTCCGTTTCTTTGTAGACAGAACAAAGCAAAGACAACGTAAACTAGAGCTCAGAAAATCGCTTTTAAAGGATCGGCTTTCATCATTTAAAATCCTCGAACCCCCCTTCGGCAGCAGAACTGGTGGTAGCACAGACTCTGGAGAAGGAAGCAGGAGGGAGAAGTAGCTGTGGAAAGGCTGTTTGACCAGCTTTGTGGTCTTACATGAGCTTTCAGCACGTGGGTCTTTGACGAAGGAAATTTGTTAACCTGTTGTCATTGTATCATATCAGGTGTGGGGGACCTTTGGCCCTCCAGATGTTGCTGAACCACAACTCCCACCATCCCTGGCTATCGGCTGTGATTTCAGGGACTGGCGTGAGTTGAAGTTCAACATCTGGAGAGCCTGAAAAACAGACACTCCCTTTCCTTTGCGGAGGTCTTCAACAATAAAGTAAAAAATCCATTCCTCTGCACTGCAGCAGCTGACTAAGGACGAAGATGTCACACAATAAAAAAACCACGCAGTTACTATAAAATAGCACAAAGAACACCCCCCCCCCGACATACTGCCTCAGTTTAAACTGACTGATACAGTCCCAACCTGTCAGGTTGCTATCTTTGTGTATTGTTTTACCTATGGGTTGGGTTGTGACTTATGTGCTTGTTTCATGCTTTGGTTATGTGTCTGTTTAGGTATAGGAGGGACATGTCAGTAAGGCTTATTCTCTAACACTGTTTAAGTGGAAGCATGTATGCATTTTAAATCTGAGGAATGCAAATAATTGTTTATCCTTCCTATGCCTATATTTTGAGTGGGGAAACTCAGAAAAGCAGAAATAATGCTGACTCGCCACAAAAAGAAAAGAAATAACTTGCGAAGGGCTACGGGTGGGCTTGTGTAATTTTGGTCAAAGAGCTGTAGAAAATAATGAAGTTAATGCTCTGAGCTACCAGCTGGGAATTGGATTGGATATGTATAGCTTTCAGAACATGTCTGATGTTTTTTTTTTTAAAAAAAGATATTTATTAAGATTTTCAAAATATTACAAAAGAAAAAAAAGAAAAAAGAAAAATACAAAATAAAAATAGTTAAAAACAATTCAGTCTTTCAATCACTTATCTTTCATTTGCTTATTTCCCGGACCTCCTCACGCCTCCCTTTTCTGTATTCCAATTCAGTTTGTTAGTTCAGCAAATCCCTCCCCTCTTTGTTTATCCTAATCTTCCAGAACATGTCTGATGGGAGAGTTAAAGAAATCTCAATGATGCTTCAAAAAGTAGTTCCTGGCCTTCCTCTTGTAGCATGAAAGGGTCAATTTCATTGGTTGGGTTCAGACATCACACTAAACCGTAGTTTAGTGTGATGAGAATGAGCCATAGCAATCTTTGGGCTTATGTGTATCTGTGGCTCCTCCTGTGTATCTGTGAGGAGGAGATCTGAAGCTTTTGCTTCCAGTTCAGTGTTGCTTACTGCAGTTTCTGAACCCTAAGCAGTTGCTAATGTTGTTAAACCATGTTTTGCTTAAACAAACCAGCTTTTTAACCCATCATTTTTGGCTAGTTTGTTTCAAACAAATCATCATTTGTTGGTTTGGATGACTCAACAAGCTATGGTTAATCTAAACTGGAAGCAAAAGCATCTGAACCTTTCCTTGCAGCCACAACACGGGGGCAGAGAGTGGGAGCCTGTAGCTTACTCTCATCACACTAAACTGTAGCTTAAACACAGCATCCAAGCCGAGCCATTGAATGATGATTAAGCAAAAGCATTGCTGAATCTTTTGGTATCCAAATCTGGGGGGGAAACCCATGTTGAATTTTAACAAGATTGCAGTGGAAGGTTGGTTGCCTCTACTTATGCTAATAGACAGGCATACAAGCCTTTTCAGTAGGGTTTTAACTCCATCCTTCTTTCATCCTATTGTGCTTCCTTCCTTTCCTTTTTTTACCAGAAGCCTTATGTGTACCCAAGGCCAGCTGATGGGCATTTGCAGCCCCAGATTTATGGAGCAGTAGTGGTTAACCCTTATTGTACCTGTATATATTGCCCCATGGCATACAGCAACCTAGTGGTTGCAGTTGGGGTTTTAACTAAGAAAACTGTGCAGGTGAAA